TGCGTCATCTCTGCAAGAGCTTCCCCGTCTGCGCACGAATACCTGCGTCGTGTCTGCCAAGAGCTTCCTCACGCCTGCACAGAAAGAGCTTCCTCGTCTGCGCACGAATACCTGCGTCGTGCCTGCCAAGAGCTTCCTCACGCCTGCACAGAAAGAGATTCCTCGGCGACCTCGCTGCGCGCAACGACAGCTCGCTGCACGGAAGAATACGTGTCACCCCTGCCTTGTTGAAGAATGGACGGTCCCCTATTATAGGCCAAGGGTCACACCACCTAAAACAATTTGATTCCCGTCTTTTTCTGGGGTTGTGTTGTGTCTGTCCCGTACGTAATAAAATCACTTTTATTTTTATTCATTCATAAAAATACCCTATCAACGTGTTTAAAATCATGAGGGAGCAGAATCAGTTTAATGGCGAGGGAGCGGAGTGACCAACGCAAAGCCTTTCAGAATTTGACTCGGGTTGAAATGGGGCATTCTGAGGCTACTTGAGGGGGGAAATGTGTTAGCAGGCACGATTCCCCAGTGCATGTTGGATTGTTGGGGTGGCAATAGGTTGATAGGGAACACTATATTGGGTGTACCATTCCTATAGAGGTACCGGTCTTTGCCCTTGCATCTTTACTCCCTTGCACTATTTATCAATTGCAGTATAATAGAATTGTTCATGATTACTTTAGTTTAGTAAACACGTCACTATTGCAATAAATGATTTTAAACACGTTGAATAAAAATAAAAGTGATTTTATTACGGGACAGACACAACAAAATCCCAGAAAAAGACGGGAATAAAATTGTTTTAGGTGGTGTGACCCTTGACCTGTAATAGGGGACCGTCCATTCTTCAACAAGGCAGGGGTGACACGTATTCTTCCGTGCAGCGAGCTTTCGTTGCGCGCAGCGAGGTCGCCGAGGAATCTCTTTCTGTGCAGGCGTGAGGAAGCTCTTGGCAGGCACGACGCAGGTATTCGAGCGCAGACGAGGAAGCTCTTTCTGTGCAGGCGTGAGGAAGCTCTTGGCAGACACGACGCAGGTATTCGTGCGCAGACGAGGAAGCTCTTTGCAGAGATGACGCAGGTATACGCGAAGTCGACGCAGGTGTGCGCGCAGGCGACGCAGGGGTGCGCGCAGACGACGCAGGTGTGTCCTTGTCGGCCACGGTATGTACCAGCCAAACCATGGTGCTAAGTACAATGGTGAGGCAACGCCGGCATTCACGAGATCGAGGCTCGTTTCACGCTCAAGGGACGATGGGTAGACTTCCTGGCGGCAAAGTCAAAATTTTCCCTGTTCTACATCACATGTCTTAGCGAGTTTTTGAGTTGTGATTGTTGATTTTTTAGAAATTTTGTACACATTGTTATCAAGATATGTAAATATTTATCCTAAACATATACTTAGGCCATTTCAATGAAATTTCTTGGTACTGGGATAATTTTCAGGAAATTATTGGATACTTGTCTTCTGTGAAAACATGATACTTCTAGCTTGTCATCCCCCAAATGCCTCCACTGTGCTGAAGTGTCATCTTGTTGTGAAATCATACTTTGATTATTTATAAAAGAAAAAAAAAATAAGGCAACACAGACAATTTCATGACAGTTTTTTTTAATGTACTATCAAAAGGACTGCACAAAATTAGTACAATACAGGCAATACCTTGGGTTTATGAAGCAATATCTTAAAAATTGTACACAGTGACATTACTTGACACAAGTTATTCCTATCATAATTATTATAATAATAATTCCAGTCAAAATGCCTATATCCACACCCTTCCAATAAATTAAGGTATGTCTTACCATACTTGATCCTACCATATACTACCATGCACTTTAGATATCATAAAATAGAACATTATAATGCCAACAATGCAATCGCTTGACTAGCATCAATTACTTGTATACTAGTAGCTTGCTTACAGGTCCAGGTAAAGTTGGGATGAGGAATCCCAAGTCATCCAGAAATAGATATGAAATTATCAGCATCATTATAATGAAGAAATAAATCATAAACAATATATCTTTAAAATACATTGTCATGTTTTAATCCAAGGTATGAATATTCTGGTTTTAGGCCACACCAATTTAATTTGTTGGTTCTCGGATTCACCTCTTCGTTTTTTTCTGATTTGCAAAAAAAAAAAAATTTGATTCTTGTCCTGAATCAACTGAAAATGCTCATGTTTTGCCCCCCAACAGTTGAGGAAAGTCCTTTTCTTCCTAGTTGTTACAGTTTTCCCATCTATCATTGCAGTGGTTTGATTAAAAGTTAAAAATTCAATGTTTAAATTTTAACCCAGCCTTTTGTGTTGACTTCATGGCTCATTTTGTAGCATTTAAGCCTATAATAGGATGCCTAGACCTGTTTTTATTTTTATTTTTTTTTCGCCCTGTCGCTTCATATTTTTTTCTGAAAAAATCCGAGAACCAACAAATTAAATTGGTGTGGCCTTAACATTAAATGATGAATGGGACTTGAAGATAGCAATAGAAGGTGATCTGGTGTCTTAGGCAGAGTTGAACTCCACATTCCTGGTGTAGAACAAACCAGTACCTCACTTGGTCCTGTACTTCAACTAGAAAATAAAGAGAATAATAATCAGATGAAAGTACCATTTGCTTTTCTTTCTGCAGACAATCAGTAACTGAAATACTGTCAATATTCACATATATCACATAACATTGCATGGATAATTCTCTGGTACATGCATTACATTTCTATTCATACACCATTAATGACTTTGTATGGCTTTTTCTAAGTTGAAACTCCATCGTGAGTTCCTATTCCACAATAATATTACTGGCTGTGCAGCTCATAGATGGTCATAAGTGTTTAAAATAAGATCCAAACATTCATGAATACACACATTTACTGCAGGTGGGGGAGGGGGGACCTGGCCAATGTATAAATAATACACTAGGTGTATCATTCTTGTGTGCAAATGTTTCTGATTGATAGGCATGTATCTTTGAAATTACAACATATGTTAGAGGTGTATATGTTCTACTATTCTACTGTATTTGGGAAAAGATCCTTTATTTCTTTGAGAATTTCTCCCTAGGCTTATGGTTGACACCCAAAACAGTTTTGAGTGTGAACAATATGGATGACAAAATTTTGAACATGTTTGAAAGTCTATAATTCTTTATCAAAAACCTGTACATTCTCAATATCCTGCAATATGTTGGACTTACATATGTACTTTTGTTTCATTTGACTTTTAATGAAATCTGTTGTGGTATTGAAATGTATGCCAGTACTTGAAATTCCCATACTGTAAACAATTTGGCTGACAAAATGTTGGAAAGTTTGAGAGTCTATATTTCTGGATCAAATGAAAGGATCTTTTCTACATCCTGCAGTGGTGTGACAGGAGATATGTAGTTATGTTTCATTTGACTTTGAAGAAGATCATTCTATATGTTTAAATTAATGCCAGCACATGATGTTCACACACTGTAAACAATATGGCTGACAAAATATTAGGCAACTTTGACAGTCCATATATCTGGATCAAAAGTCATGATCACTTTGATATTCCAGAATATGTGGGAGTGATATAAGTAGTCAAGTTTCATTTTACTTTCAACAAGATAAGTTCATGTATTTGAATTTATGCCAGCACTTGTAAACAAGATGCCTGCCCAATTTAAGCAAATGTTAGGTCAGTTTGAAAATCTATATTTCTGGATCAAATGAATAGATCTCTTCAATATCCCAAAAATAATTTAAGGGGGTATATGTAGTTATGTTTTACTTGACTTTGAAGAAGATCAGTTGATTTTTTAAATTTATGCCAGCACTTGAAGTTGAGAAATGTAAACAAGATGGCCGCCAAAATGTTAGGTAACTTTGAAAATTAATATTTCTAGATCATATAAACAGATCTGTTCAACATCCTGATATAATTTAAGGGGGTATATGTACTTCAGTTTTATTTGACTTTGAAGATGATCAGTTGATTTTTTTAAATTTATGCCAGCACTTGAAGTTGAGGAATGTAAACAAGATGGCTGCCAAAATGTTAGGTAACTTTTGACAGTCTATATTTCTTCATCAAATGCCTGGATCTCTTCCATATCCTGGAATAGTTTGGGGGGATATATTTTGCTGTGTTTCATTTCATTTT